GGCGGGGAGGGCGGCCACGGACAAGAGGTTCGCGGAGGGCGAACGCTCCGTTGTGGTTGAGCACAAGAGGGGCTTCCAAAAGGCTGCTCGTCAGGCTCGGCTTCTTGCTCCCGGATTCGACTTTTCTTCCATGCATGTGGAGAAAGTCGTCCGCTTTGGGAGGCTAGTCAAGGAGGACGATGCCGACGACAGTTCTAGCGGGGGTGCTTCAGCCTAGGCCGCCTTCGTAATAGCTAGATTTATTTTTCTTTGGCTTGAATTGATGTACTGAATTTTGAGAACTTTGTTTGTATATATATATATTTTGCTCTATCTTGTCCGTATTTGCGTTCAATTTTGGCTGTTCGCGCTGTTTGAGGCACATGTTTGGTGTCTGTTATATGCTTTTGTATATGGTGCTACTTCTACCTTGAGTTGGTGAAGTCGAGATTCGTGGTCGGCCTTAGTTTTTGTTTAGTAGGATTTTTTTGTGGGAGTTCGAACCCGACCGTAAATGAATGTGTTAAGATTCGTATTTGACCCCGAATTTTGACTAAGTAATTGTTGTGAAAGTTCATAAATGACCCTAGACTGGAGTCAAGGTCAGAATTTGACCTTAAGTCGGTCGTGCCGGGGTTTAAATTCGACCCCGGTATTGAGAGTGGGGTGTGTTTTGTCAGGGTTCAAAGTCGTCCTCAGGTTAGTGGTTTGGACTCGACCTTTATCGGGAGTGTCGAGGCTCATATTCGCCCTTACAGTTCGATTTTGAGCAACTGATTGATTTTATTGTGGTTTGGATTTGACCGATTTTATTAAGGTTCGGGTTTGACCTTGAAAGTTTCGAGGATCGTATCCGACCTTAGGCTTTGCTTTAGTGAATTATATAGACAAACCAAACTTACAAAGGAAGGCACACTCAAAACTAATATGCTGACGTGACAAAACCACTCAGCTTACAAAAGAATACAAAACATACAAATAAAGCAATGCTACCTAATACTCTATTAGAGAACAATTGTATTGGCAAGATATAGAATCATGGATTATATATATTTTTTTAGTCCATGAACTTTTATCCAATTTTTCTAACATGAAGAATCAATTAGTATTTGTAACTAACATGAAGAATCAATTATTGGCAGGAGAGCAAGCCCCATCAGGGCACCAAAGGAGGAACTCTGGTATCTTCAGGAAGATGAAGAAAGTTTTGGGTCTCGGTTTGTTCAGGTCTAAGAGCTAGAACAAGAATTTTGCCAGCTCTTTTATCTTTTATCTTTTTTTTTTAATTTTTTTTAATTTTATGTTCTTTTACACTTTCTCTTTATGAGAGAAAGTGAATATCAGAAGGGAAAAGTCATGAATAGTTTAAACATAAATAATGTACTAAACAAGCATTACGTTTTGGTATTATATTTGATTCATTTTTTTATTTTTTTTAATTGATTGTATGGAAGTAATACATACTTAATCTCTTAGTTTATTGAAAACTTAAAAGTTCAGATTAAAGGATTGAAATATAATGAGATGAATGAGAATGAAATATAATAAAGTGGGATTCCATTATTTTGGATATTTTACAATAAAATGAAGTATATTGAAAAAAAAAATACAACATAATAACTTCCTAAATTTTACATTATTTTTATTCAAATATAACCTTTAAGAGGTTTATGATTAGAGTAAAATTTACAAAAATAAAATAATTATTTTATAATTTTGTTCTGTTAAGCGCAGTCTAAATTGAAGGAAAAACTATTGAGGTTAAATAATAAAATAGAATGAATTATGATCGGTTTTTTCGTTACGTTTCATGTAATTTACAAGTTAAATAATAGAATAATTGTTTTTATTGTTTATTTCACCCTGTACCACCGATTCTAATATCTTAAAGATGAATACTAAGGTCGGTCTTCTTTGAAAGAATTTATGAATAATCTATATGAATTTATTTTATTTTGTAAGTATTTATGTGAGTGTTTGAAAAAAATTATAAAATATCTTATGGGCAATTTATGAGATGTTTAAGCTTATTTTTTGATAAGTTATTCTATATATCTTATTATTTAATTTATGTAAGAATTTTTGAAAAATATCGATATTCAACTGTTATCAAAATAAATATTTTTTTTATTATTTTATTAAAAACTAGTTTTATATTCTTTTTTCATCACTCACTCTAGACATTTTTATTTTTCTCTCAAAATTTTTTGTTCCTCCTTATTTACTTCCAAAAAATTTTCTTTATATTTCTTCTAAAATTCACATTCTTTTATTATAAAAGCATCACATAACTTCTCTTTTTCTTTCTAAAAAGCAGCACATATGCTTTATTGAAAATTTTTGTGTCAAAGGTATGAAACATATAGTTTTTATTACAAAAATCAAAATTCTAATATTCAAAGTCTTCTCATAATCATCACATTTTCTCTTTTTAAAATTTTTGTTACATCATAGTTATATGTATAATTGATTTATCGCATTTTATAATTAATATTATTTTTTATAAATTAAAATCAAGCGAATGGTTATCATTTTTTTTTAACATTATTGTGATATAGAATATCATTTTAAAAAAGTTCTTTAGTTTTTTTTTTAAATTTCATTTTATTTTTAGTCAAGATAACTTTTTAATACTTTTAGAATAAGACAACATTTTATTAGTTCTTAAATAATATATTTAAACACTTTAAAATAGTATAAGTGATTGTAAACATGAATATTTAAATACAATGATTTATTTAATTTTAAGTACTTATCACATAAGAACTTGTTTAATAAAATTTTAATCAAGTTATTTAAATAAACGGACCCAAATTCAAGTGTTACTCTCTGCCCTCTCGATTATTTTTATGGATAAAATGTGCTTTAGATATTTCATGTTTTGATGTTAATAGTGGTCTCTAAAATTTAAAAACTTTGATTTTTCCCATGTATCCTAAGTTTTATTATAAAAAGGAAGAAATTAATCAATTATCACAAATATGAAGAAATTTTTAAAATGTAAGAACTAGGATTAGTTTTGATATAAAATAAAGGGACTTAAAATATATTTTATTCTATTTTTAAATGTATATAGGTTTCAATTTTTTTGAAAGAAATTATAATTTGTAATTTATTAACTAATACAATTATACTTTTAAGATTAAGAAAATGTGTATACCTTTAAAGAATGATCATGTTATGTTTATATTCGTGCTCGATACTGTATAAGCACTTGGGATATTTTTAATTATATTTTACAATAATTTTTACTTTTATTAATTCCGTAATAAGTAAATACATATATTATAGCATTTTATTAGATCTAAATGTTATACTTATTTTTAAATCATGAATCCTTATAATTTAAATTCTCATTATATGAATTTTATAATTGTTTAATACACTATAATAATTAATTAATATATGTTGTGCCATATGAAACCATTTTTTTATTATAGTTTTTTGTTTAATAAATAATATATAAGTGTTCAGAATTATATATATCATAACAATTTCTTGATTAAGATCTGACCTAAGAAGAAAAAAAGGGCTTATAAGTTATAACATGTAACTTTGTGGTTGAATGAGCTTGAGAGATTCAAGCAACACTTTTTTCCTACACGTTCCCGTACAACAAACAACTACTTTGGTTTTCATATATGTTCTCGTCATTTTCCAAATATTATTCCTTCAAATTTAAATGCTTTCTCTTTATGCTTTTGCTGCCATTATAGGACCATATATTTATATATACTATATGCTTTTCCTGGCGTCAAAATTCCCCGTTCCTTTCTCTATACATCGTTATTAGGCCAAATCATGATAAAAAAAACCCAAACTAATAAACTTATCTAATGTCATCTAATCATTCTTTCTAAAGGGTTGGAAATCTAATATTGATTAGTGATATGGCTTAGTGATCTATATATTATTCTGTCTTATATTTGTAATCATTTTAAATTTTTAGAAATTTAGTTTTTTTAAAAAATTTACTTACCATTTTTTTAACTTTTACTTTATTTTAAAATTTATGTCAAAAGATAATTAATATAATTTTATAATTGATATTTTATGTTAATATTTTTTTCAAAATGGGTATAAGGTACAAAGATAAGAATGATGATAGTGAATTCTGTACTCGTGTTGTCCTATTATCATCCATACTTAATATGGTCTAAGTAGGGCATATTTATTTTAGTTCTACGTGGAAATTTTTTAGTTAGCTTAGTTAGAGACTCATCTAATTCATAGTATTGTGCCTCTTGTTGGCATGTGGTGAGTTTATACACTTGGTGCATGCTTGTTTTGGTTCTACATGGGTAATTTTTAGTTCATTTCAAACTAATCTAGTTCATAATATTGTAATAATCATTGACCTTACAAGTTTATATACACCACTAAGATCAAATGCAAGTTCTCTATTTCATAGATTATTTTCATAATTTGTGAGTATCATATATAAGATTGAGTTAAACTCCGATCTACCTCGATTATTCCAACTAAACTGAACCAATCATTCACGACCATGACTCTTGGGACAAATATATATGAATCCAACTTCTCAAATTGTAATGAAGGACCACTCTGAAAAGAATCTTCCAGATATGGTGGAGGAATCCATATATATGTTATAACTTTTTTTGTACTATGAGATATACTGAGTGAGAGAAAGATTCTAGTCTAGATATTGGCGACGAGGAAGATCATCGACCGTCTCTTTTTTTTATAATAAAGATTCCTTGAATCCAGTATAATCTTTAGCCAATGATCACGGCTAACCCCATTACCACACATTGTGACTAGGATCCAGTGACCCTGATTGATGCAACGTGCAGCTTCTCAGTGAAATAAGTGTTCGTTCAATTAAACATGTTTCAAACTTGCATGCTAGAAGGGACTTATCTACACAAAGATCAGTGAGTGGCTTCCATTATATATAATGCTAGAAGATATTTTATTGCTAAAGGGTACGTAAAGTGGACGTGGGTGCATGAACTTGCAACTTCTGTCACAGTGTAGTCGGAGTAAAAGGTTCTATTTTGAGTACATTATAAGGATTTACAATGGGCATCAACTGTCTTGTCTTGGACGTTTTCTTTTTTGATCACGAAGTTAGTCTTCAAATTAAGTGTATGTTTGGATTTCCGTTTGAGAAGCTTCAAACAGACAATCTCAATTTCTAAAGCATAAATCGAAGAAATAAGTATGAAGTACGTTTAGATGAACGTTTATACAAACACATCCTAAATTCAACTCACTTAAACTTTATATATATATATATATAAAATAAATAAGGGGAATTCCAACACACACCCAAAACAAGGTCTAAAAAGTTTGCATTGCAGACAATACATGTTCCTACATTCGAGTTTTGCGCACAGCAAGAATCAAACTCAAGTTTTACATTAAATACATCATCCCATAATGATATTTAATGTATAATAACTCAATTTTAGTATAATAATGATATTTAATGTATAATAACTCCATTTTAGTATTTTTAGTGTCATGTTCATTTTGTATTCTAATTATTTATGTAATAATTATGAGTTAGGGCTAACTTATGTAACGTGTGACAAAGTAATAAAATTTTCTCTATTTTTTTACACCAAAACTTAAATTTTCTATTTTCTTTTATTTACTTACAACTTGAGCAACACCAAGTAGAAAAAGAATAGTTGTAACATGAAATGTTATATGGTGCCTTATTTAAAGAAGTAACATCTAATTAGTGTGCAATATTCTTAATGGTTAGGTTTAAATGAACGATTGACTCTTGAAATTGCATAATTAATTTCTGAATACCTGGTATGCTATAAAATTTCTACACATAAAAAATGAGATTGAATACACATGTATTTACATGATTTTAGGTTCAAATTCTATTATCATTATTTGTAATTATTATGAATAAATAAAATAAAATTTTTGGAATACTGTCACAAGAAGGAGCATTTATGAAATTAACTTTTTCATTACATCTATTTTTTGAAATATATTTGAGTGCCACACAGTTTCATCAAAAGATTTGGGAGCATAAATGTCTAATTTTAAGGTCTGTTTTATAAGATTTTTCATAAATATTTTTAGGAAAGAAAAAAATTAAGTTAAAATTAATTTATATATAAATGTATATTTTGTAATAGTTAATATGAATGAGTTTCTTTATAGATAAGTTAATTTTAATTTTAATTTTGAAGGAATTAATTTCATCTTTATTTCTTGTTTTTTTTATAACAAAAATAAGAATGATATTTTTAGCAAATTAAGGAAGTATATATAAAATCAATATTTTTAGTGATTGGGAATTCCAAAAATATCATCGAGCATTGGCTTGTGCTAGCTTAGAAGAATATACTACACTGAAGCCTACTTGCTAGAATTTAGAAATTCAATAGTTCCAAATGGGGTTGTGTGGGCAATCTGAA